AATTGTTACTGGAAGGTAATCTATTTTGATCCCGTTTTTTTGTTTCATTTAAGACCTCAGTGCTGAAATGAGTTACCTGGCCTTCTGAGTTGTTATTCCAAAAGAAATTTCTGATACTTCTTTTTCTATTTAGCATTACATATATATTCTTTTTCTTTTGATATGGAATACTATTTAATTAGTAGGACCACAGATTTTTTTTAAAAAAAATGCAGACCTTGTCCGATCTTCCAAGTAAGGAACATTTTATTGATGATGAATGCTCAAAGTAACTCACTAGGTTCAAGACTTCCTCTCTAGAATGTTTTTCTAAATATTTAACAGCTACATATTTTATCTTCTAAGTCAGAATGACCAATCCTAACACTATTAGATGTTCAAATGATCCAGAACCAGGTTCTGTAGATAATAACACAAATGTTTGTTTTCTTCTACCACATTTTTAATGCTGTGTTTTCCATGTAAAAGCACCCACACATACACCTTTGAACATTCACCTCCCCCAGTTCCTCTTCTGAAGGTAGCCAAGCAACATAAAAGACTGGCTTGGTGAGGCATGCACAGGCCTGCCAGAAGGTACTAGTGATCCTTTGTAAACTTGGAATGAGCCTTGAAAAGGAGAAATAAATCCTCAAACCAAAAAAGCCACAAGCCAGGGTTTGTGACTGTTGATGTTCATTTCAGAAATCTGTTATCATGAAGGGAATTAGAAGGGTAGTCCTGAAAATAACTACAAGGGGATCATCTGTCTCCCTGCAAAACTAGTCTTACTGTTTGTAGTTTAATAGAAGCTGGAGAGGAAAAAGAAAATCAAACCACAGCATGCTCTCCAGGGTTCATTCACAGCTTGAATTTCTCACTTCTCTGCAATGAATCTTAATCACTGGGTTCTACTGTCCCAGTTTTTTCAAGTTCAACTCTTTCAATGTGAAATATATTTTTACACATTTACAATTATGCTCCCAATATTTAGATTAGAATTTATATTTGATGAGAAATTAGTTTTAGATGTGGCAGAAGAAATAGAAGTAGTTTTGACTGTTAATATAGAAATATTAGAATCTATGGAAACCATTACTTATTGGTTGCAGACAAAAGTTATTTGCTAAACCTTCAAGAACGCACATTTACTTCTTTCCTTTAAAAAAGATAAAGGAAAAATTGTTTGAAGATCAGTGATTTTAAAAACACTGGGTTGCTATTTTTTGCATCATGCTTTCTATTTAGAAACTCAAATATAAAATTTCTCGATTAAGCAACTGAAAATATGTGTAAAAGCAAATGTAAGAAACCCAACAATTCTGTTTAGATTTGGAGTACATTTAGCAATTTCCTGATGTTAAAATGCTAAGGAGAGACACATAAAATTGCAATTCAATACTATAAACCAGCTTAACAGAAATATTTATATAAATAAAAACATCTACTTATAAACCAGCTTAAAAGCAATTTGAGCCCTCATTTGCTTGTCTTTTGCTTTTCTACATGTATTACATAATTAAAGATATTTTGGATGTTTATAAGACTATTCACTAATTGTTTTTAAGATGCTACGTAATATTATAAGTACTAAACCACACTAAAATGTTTATACGTGTATTAATTTACATATGCTTTTATGCAATCACAACTATTCCTCTCCTTGGTAGAATATACATTTTGTGGAGATGGGCCTTTCTAAGTCATAGGTATCTCTTTGTCATCAAGAGTTTAATACAGAGCACAGGAGAAGCCTGAGCTCTCAGAAAGGACTCATCAATTTAACTGTTATCTGTTCATTAACTATTCAAGGTTATCACAAATCACATGAGTAACTTAAGCTCAGAAAGGGAAAGAGGGAAAGAGTTACCTAAACATCTCCCATCTACTCCATCTACTCTTTAGGCAGCATGGCACAAAACCATGACCGGAATTTTTAAAAGCTAGTGACTATAGACTTAAATACCGGATGTTATGAGTTGCACAAATCTAAGACAATTTCACAAAAGCCTAAAATCATGGGCTCTGTGAAAAGAACACATGCCCTGCCATACGGATATGCCACATGCAAACAGAAATAAATCTTATCGCTCCTATATTTAGTAGAAGGAAAATTTTAAAGCTCAGTCAGTATTAAATTTTAATTGGTAACTTTGACCTTGAGTGCCACTTTAGGTGAAAAATATTACACCAGTGCTCAGATTTTCTTGAGATTTATGATCTCATGCTCTTCAAAAAGGCTTAGCTCCTCCATGTTCCTGAAATAATTGATCTGCCTGCTACAAGTGTTGCTTTCTTGAAACCAACATCTGTCTCAGAAAAAAAAAAAGAGAATAAACTGATGAAAATACCCTCCTATATTTAAGTAATTCAAAAGAGCAACCAGAATTTATACCTACCATATCACCATATTTTTAACAGCAGTTAAGATTTTAAGTTAGTAAGTTTATTAGCACACAACAGAAGACAAGAAAAAAATAAAGAGTAAAGCTATTTGCAAATATTGGCTGTAATGATTAAGCACAATTAACAAGGAGTGAGTATTTTAAATGTGCTAACAGGTCACAGTGCAACCCTTCATCTCACATCTTACTTGGGTTGGAACAGAATTCCACAAAAGACATTTTCAGCCTTGGGAGTTTTTCTTTCTTTTCGTTATTGCAATCACAGACATTAATAATTTCACCAAAAATAATCTGAGCTATCCCTGCTTACTGTGTCTACGGGAAAAGATAAGCAAAAGATCATGAAAGCTGTTAGTAAGCTGGGAATAAAGGAAAATTTGAAAACAACAATAATTAAATAGCTTCTTCCTTCAATGGAAATTCAACAGAAAATTTAGGGTCTGTTTGCAAAATGTAACTGGCAAATATTGACTCTCCACATGACAAAATGTCTAATACTAAATAACATTCTCGAATACAAATTCATTAGCATGATAATTGCTACCACTTACCATTCACAACACTGTGAGCACTTTCAAAAGTTCTTTACCTGACTACTTCACGGAATGCTCAAAACAACTTTGTAACTTAGGTACTATTATCAGTCCCCTTTTGCAAAACTACAACAACAACAACAAAAAGCAAACTGACAAACAGCAAATAGCTAAGTCCACTCCTAAGCCCAGGCAAAGTGGCTCAGAGCCATGCTTCCCACCACCAGCCCAGGGTATGGTCCATTAGTACATCAGCAGGAAGAATTTCAAAAGCAAGAGAGCCAATACCTACAGAAAAAAAAATAGTCATTCACTAACTGTAACAAATATTTATAAACCACCTACTATTGCTCAAATAGAACTACTGCATATAGAACTATGCATTAAGTTCCTTTTCAACACAAAATGTCTATGAGAAGATCTATGATTTACTTTTGTACATGACTCTGAAATTTCGACTTGATTTAACTAGTTAAATCTGCTGCCCCACCCTACCCCACCCCAAACTGTTGAGCATTTTTCATACAAGCCACTCCCAATGAGGCCAATGGAGAGCAGTCAGTATACCAGCACTTGGAGATGAAAACTAAGTTAGCTGGAAAAGGAAGAAAAAGAAAAAATCAAAGGAATTTCCACAGTAAAATGGCATGCTCCAGGGAAGTCGGGAATCCAGGTACCCTCAATTGTACAGATCTGTTGTTTAAACATTTTAGATGAAACATGCCCCACACTGTGAATATCTGATTTTGCAACAGCTACCTCAGGGTGAACTCAAAATGGTCAGTCATCAAGCAAGGGTTGACTTTGAACAAAGAAGCTTTGTAACTTGCCAAGAGAAAGAGACAGAGACTCAAAAGTCAACCAAACACATAATGCAAAGATAGCTACAGGGAGAAATACGTGTTACCTCAGCAGCAGCTGCAACAGCAAAAATGTGGAAAAAATGAGGAATATATGCATTTACCCTACCTAATAGAAACCTTTTCTAGATATTTTATGAATGCAACATACAGAAGCACTTTTATTGTATTTGTAAGTTTATTCGACATGGGGTTCTAAAATCTTTGGACAAACAGAAATATCAGATGAGGTGTATCTATACACACCATTCCCTTTAAGTATAAATTAATTTTATTACTGGTCTACTTTTCCCTATTTATTACCTGTTAATTCAGTATATTTTCTTTTCAAGAATGTCAGATCTTAGAAAATTTTGTCTATAGAATAAATTGTTAAAAGTTAAATTTGTTACTACTGAGACAATATGTAGAAATCAATTTCCCTAGATGGAAATAAAAGTACTCATAAAAGAAAGAAAAAAAAAACATTTAAAGCATTTATAAAGGTTAGATGATTTTCTGAACTAGAAATACAACTCACACAAAATAAAAAATATTGTGTTCACATTTATATGCTCCTACTAAATAAAAAAGATGTTACTTCTAAATATTAGCACAGAGTCCTCTACAAAGGGTCTTGTCTTGGGAAAGTCAGAACTATTAAAAAGTAAACCAGAACACTGTTTTTTAATGGCTTCACTTTTTTTCTAAAGTTAAAAGATTTAAAGTGATCTCAGGCATAATTGAGGCAATTTCTAGCCAGAGGCAACAAAGCTCCTGTAAATCTAGACAACTCATAAACTGGCAAGGATACCAGAGGTGTGGTTTCAGTTAAAAGCTATTAAGCTTTGAAACTAAACTTTACAACAAGATGAACACAACTTACGCTGAGAAAACAAAACAAAACGCCCAATCCAGACTATTTTCAGCAAGGATTCTCTGTATCGCATGTCCCACTTGACTTATTATCTAGAGTTATTATATTTGGAATATATGAATAACTGTGAGTACCTTTTCCTACAAGCATAACGTCATGTACAGAACAAAATATTCAGTAATTAAACTGTAGAAGGCATTGCTTAATGGGTAAAAAATAATTATACTAACACACTGACAGGACAAACCACATAAAGTTAAATAGAAAATAACTGAATGTCGTTCCAGAAGAATCACTGGTCTCCAGAGAGGACACTTGTTCAAAAAGTCCTTAACCCCATGCTCCTGTTATAAAATCCCATGTATGTATAAAATGAAGAAACGTTCCCAAATTAGGGGGCGGGGGTACCAGTTGCATGCTTTCCCTGTACAACAGCCAGGTTGCTAGTTGGTTTTCTCAGGGAGGGAGCAAGCTGGGTATGTTGATATTAACCAGTCACTCTGAGACTGTTCAGCCTGCAAATGACCAGCTCAGCAGGTGATTGTGGGAAAAGTGTGGACTGGGGGTTATTCATCCTGTGAATGATTTACTCTAGACCTTCGCCTCCTGGTCACACAGTATGCACCGGAGTGAGAGGATCTAAGGTCAACAGGACACCTGCTGTCTACAGCGATTCCCACCCACTTTCCTAATCACTTAACTGAAGTCATCACAGAATGAATAATCAGAAACACACCTGGATCCACCTGTCTGGAAGCTCTTCGGAGTCCATTGGTCCGTTTCTGTGCAGAAAGACAAAACAAAGTAAAACAAAGATGTGTTGGTGATTGAGCACTATGAACTTATATGACCTTCCAATGAATATTGAAGTAATGAATGTTGCAATTTTTTTCAATTTAAAACATGGATAAATTGAAAAAAAAATACATGGTTTTAAAGATTGTTTTTATCATCTGTCTTCCACTTGAATATTGTTTGCCTTTGTTAAGTCATTGATATCTTGTAACACCAAGAAAGAGAAACATTTCTGTTGCAAACTCTAGATGTTAAGACCCATATTTTTTAAGTCGTAGGGGTTACAGGAAATAAGAGAACCAAAGCTTAGGCAGCCATTCTTGGTTAGAAAATGTCCCCAACAAAACCAATGAGCAACCGTCTTAAACTGAACTGTTGAAACTAACTCAACTGTTTCTGGGGCATGACAGACCAGTGACTGGAGGCACCTCTACACAAAGAATTGAAGGTCTGATTTTAGCAAAAACCTAAATGACAATGGTAGTTTCATTATGAACAAATTTTATCTGACTACTTAAAAAAAATGTAGCTGTGAACCATGAAAGTGAACCCTTACTATAGAAAAGGACTCCATAAGAAAAAGTATGCATTATCAAAGTTAGACATAAGGTGCGAAACAAAAGAGATTTCAAATCTCTGAAAATGCATGGTTACACATTTGTTTTCACAGGCATGCAGTTCATTCCCACCTAATAACTATGTAATCTTATAATCTTACTAATTAAGAAGGGCTTGATTTTTCACTTTTTATATACAACTGAATTGGAAGCTGAGTCCAGGACACCATATAATGCAGATTTTCACAAAAGCAGGTTTCTTTTTATGTGTGTTGGGGTCTGTGCCTGGGTCTGTGGAGACTTGGTTGCCTCCAGAGCACACCTGGCTTTGGTGAGCACACACTAGTCGTGGGTTTTTCTCAGTGTTCCTTCTGATGTTGTGACACGGGCTCTTTCAGTCTTCCAAAAGGCCTTGAAGCCATATCCAGCAGACTCCCGGGCTCTCAGGTGAAAGGCAGATGGTGAAAGTTTAAAAATGTAATTTTTGTTTTTATCCCAACTACTTTGAAATGGATTTGTAAAAGACTAATAGGATCATTAAAATCAGCAAGATGGACAGCTGGAAACACTATTGTGAAGGGTCACCGTGAGAGAGAGAGAGGAGGAGAATGCTGCTTTGGGCTTCCAGGTGGCTGAGACAGAGAGGGGAAGAGTGACAGTCACAGATCTGTACCTGATAACATGAAAGAAAAACTGCTTTCAAGGGAAAAACTCTTTCCTACCTGAAATCTCACGGAGGAAATGTTTAGACTTCGCTCAATAAAGGACATCAAATGACATAATTGACATTGTCAAGAAGAATATGTAACCACGGCCGTCATTTACTTGCTACAAATCCCAGGAGTTGTTAATATACAAAGAAACTGCTCTCCACTCCTACCTTCTGCCACTGAGTACATGAGAGGTGAGAAAGGAATTTAACCTTCTGTTCTGAGTCCTAAAATCCCTAAACCAATGCTATTTAGAAAGTATAAACTTAAACTGTGAAGAAGAGAACCTGAGAGTTTAAGGGCAACTCTGTACTGCCCTGAGTTGAAGACTAAAATTGGCAACACACTGCAATTACTGAGTATAGATTAGCGAATAAGACTAAAGTTCAAAATCAGTACACCCTGCCTCAGTTTCCTTGTCTGTAAAATGGGAATGACAGGAGTACCTCCTTCACAGGTTTGGTGGTGAGAATTAAAGGAGTCTATTTATGTTAAGTGCTTGGAATATTCTTACAACATGGTAAGGATTATTAAGTAGTAGCTCATATTAACTTCAAGGAATTCTGAATGTTTAAATTTACACAAAAGATAAAGTCTCCTAAGTTACTGCTTTAATATTCTTTTTCTTTTGCTTATGACACTGGATCTCACTATGCTGCCCAGGCTGGTCTTGGACTCCTAGACATAAGGGATTATCTTGCCTCAACTTCCTAAGTAGCTGGGACTACAGACAGGTGCTACCATCATAGGTTTGCCTTACTGTTTATGTTTTAGGTTTTTCCTCCTAAAAAGTCTTTGAAAACCAGTCACCCTGAAAACAAACTATTCTACAGGAAAGGTAGGCAGTGAAGTAAACTATATATTAAAGACATTTAAAAATAAGAGGAAACTTTTGTTACTTAGACCAAGTGCATTGGAAGAGTTTGAAATTTATTATATTTTAAAAGCATCCAAAAAGTATTTTATAGTGCAAAAAAAAAAAAAAAACCATGGAACAAAGATGTTTTGAACAATTTTTAAATGGAAAATTCAATTGTCATTCAGTACCACATCCCTTTCTGTGTATGTGTGCATATGATTTTTTTCTTTCTCAAAAGCTTGACAGGGTGGGACAGACTTGGTTCCCAGAAAGGAGAGAAGGATCTGTCCAGTCACCACCTGGGAGTTGTGAGTTACAACCCAGGAAGCCATGAGAACCAGACTTCTGTGATCTTCTGGGAGGAAAGGGGAAAGTAAAACTAATTTTATAAACACTGGAAATTATTTCTTGCTTCATTACCCATCACATTGTCTTTCACTTAAAAAAACAAGCCTTTATTATCCAAAAAAATCTGTGTTCTTACCTCTTTTGAGAAAAAAACTAATTCTCTCTGCTGATTTTACCAACAAAATAAGCAAAGCTTTATTTGTTACATGGAAGTTTGCTTTGATGCTTCTGTTTTAACCTGCATGGAGGGCTGGATTTAAAGCAGCTGAATAGTTAGGAATGATAAAGTTTCTTCTTGGAGTCAGAGGGTTGCTCGACTGGGCATCAGATGAGTACCCCAGGAATGGTTATGGAGGCCTGTGGATTTTGTGGCTATTGAAAACTGACCCACCTTGAGAATGAAGTGTAAATTTAAAAATAAAAATTCACTATCTTAGGTGTTAAAAGGGAAATGGAAGAGAACTCTAAACCTGTACAAGAAGAGAAAGAAGTCCTCCGAAGGCGGGGGGTGGAATAAAATCACATTCTTAATATTCTTTGCCATCCTTTTTCCTTTAATCAACTAAGGTTACCAGGTACATTGGCCTGCATAAGGTCTTTCCATAATTCTCCAGCCAAAGTGGAGATTATTAGTGTAATCACACACTGAATAAAAATTACACTTATTATATTCAGAAGCTAAGAAAGTCACTAAAATGATGCTACATTTAAAAAAATCAATGTGAAAATTAATTCCTTTCATTAATAGGCTTATGTGTAATTTTTTTAGAGTATAAAAGCCCTTCAGAGAATTATTTAATATCATGTGAAAATTATTAATCACTTCTTATTAGCACACTCTCTTTCTGTAAACATACCACTTCACATGACCTCACTGAGATAAAATGAAACGATTTTCTTGGGAAAAAGTAATCATATATCTAAAAGGACAAATGTTAAGCAACACTCAGTCAAAGTTCAGAGCCCTACAAGGTATCTGGCTCAATAATCTATGGCCAGCTTGAGGGAGGAAGTGAAGAAAGACTGTTTTATAAGATTGTCTGCACTGCTGGAAGAATCCTGACAGCCCGGATAGGAGAACCTTCCTGTCTAGGAAACACTAAAAGAAAATGTAGGTTAATTTACTTTAGCCTAAAAGAACTTGTATGGCCAATGTTATTTTTAATACTGTCGTGTCTGTTGTGTATCCTTATCCATTCCTTCACCTAGCCTCTCAATTCTAAAGTGTGCTCCACTGAAGGTTCCATCGCTGTGCCTATCGTAAGTGTCTGTATCACACTCTGAAGCTGTACACATACAAATTCCGTGCTTATGCAATAAAGTAGAAACGAGTGCCTCACATGACATCTTTCTGTATTTTTCCTTATTTTTACCAATTCTATAAATGTGAACTTATTTAAAAAACCATAATAATAATGTACACTTTTATTGGGTTTTGGTCTTATTTTGTTGTGAGGACGGGTAGCACTTTTAAAAACAGAAGACTGGTGCAGCTAAACACATTGCTAAATGGTTTTGTCATTCTTTTCTAAGAGTCTCTGATTTATTGTGTTTTTGGTTCATGTTACTAACTGCGAAAATAAAAGGAAATGTGCAATTTTTTTTTTATGTTTTTGCTATGAGCTGGTTAAAAAAATCTTGTTACTTTTGGTTGATAGCCAATACAATATTGCCTGGAATCTTCGCCTTTTTCATTCTTTTCTATTTTAAGTAACTTTGTTCGAAGCGGTAACAGGGATCACATACTTCTAAGCCATTAGGAGTTGGACGGTGTTAAACGAAATGGGAATGATATCAGATCTTGATTTGATCAATAGGACAGTTGCTAATCATGTCTGTGCTCAGATGGGAAACTACCAGAAATATGAAGTCATATTGTTAAGAGGAACAATGTTAAGAATTGTTAGAACTGGTGAACGCTGGGCAGTGACACAACAGTTCATGACAGAGGACACGTCTACCAACTTCCTGGGATGAGGCTAACCCTTTCCTCCCCTAGAGTTCCACTTTGCACACAGGAGCATCCTCAACTCCAGATTTCCAGGCACTGACTTGAAAATTTCTCTGACTTAACTTCAGTAGTTCATACGCAGTCAGGCAGCTCCCTCCATCTCTGTGTCTCTCTACTCACTTGAAAAGGCACAATTAATACTGCAAAAGCTCAAGCCTGCTTAAGTAAGCAAACAAGTTGAAATGCAAAGCTTATATAAAAATTTGAAATGTCAATCTTACCTCTGGTGGTTTGAGCGGCCCTTGTTCTGAAACAAAGGTAGAAATTGGCATTGTCAGTGCAAAGTGATTTGGTTCGGTCAGCCAGCTCAGCTTGTGCTCTGCAGCGTGGCAAAACACTGCCGCTTTGTTTTCTTAACTGATACCTGTAATATATTTCCAGGGTCCCTCAGGCTGGGCTAGTAATTGTTTTGCAACCTGGGTTCTCTTACCTTATTGGCTTGTCAGAAATGTGACTCATAGTTCTAAATGACTTCTAGGTTATGCTTAACTTTCTCAATTGTTTATTAAGCAATGTCAATCTAACCACATAAAACTCCTTAAAACAGGGCTTGCACTGCATTTATGTGCATGATAGCTAGATGCAAACCTTTCCCTCAACACAGAACCGAAACATACTAAGTTACAAAGGTACTGCACACTTAACACAGAATAGCAAGCCATATGAAGTTTTCCATTAAGTGACTTTCCAATAATAATCCTTAGTTTTCATTTTATAGAGACTACAGTTTGATTAAAAGATGGAAATTAAAAACTGAGTCAGGATTCGATACCAACACTACTTTTCCTTGTATCCTGAGTTAGCCTGTCTACAAACAGGAACAACATGTCTTTAGCACACTTCATTTCCTGAAATTGGTTGACAGAAAGGTCTCTGGGATCTTCAGGGGAGCAATTTGGTCAAAAGGCAAAGGTTGCTCAGGGAAAAAGTAAACACATGGAACACATGGGAACCTGGTAGACAGTCATTTTGTTTCCTTGCCGCAGACCTAGGAGCAGCTAGACATGTTGTGACTTCCCCAGACTAAGTGAAGCCCTCACTGCTAAGAGACCATACCTGGATACCTGGACTTCTCCCAAACAAAATGACCCTCCGGGGAATGAGTTAAGAAGATGCAGCTGAAGCAGGCACAGTCAACCAAGGGCAGAGGCCTTAAACAGGAACTCCGCAGGATGTTTCTTTAAAAGGCACTAAACTCCATGGCCAGAGTTCACAGGAAAAACTCCTACCAGAACACCTGGGAGCTGCCAGAATGCTTTACACAAGAAAACTGCCTAGAGCATGGAACAGGAGTTTGGTTTGGGTTTCTTTTTCTTTTTTTCTTTCCTTCTTTTCTTTTCTCTTTACAGGACTACTCCAGAGTAACAGAAATGGAAGATCCACGAGCAGAAAGTCACCTTTGGGGAAAAAAAATCTAAGTCTGCATCCCTTGTCAATTTCAAACCCTGATCACCTTGGCTTTTACAAATGACTGACTGCCTTCTAGGAAAGCATCTTTCCTAGGCCTGAAATTAGCCTTTATGAAAGAATATTATTCCCGGATGCAAAGCTTTCATTTCTTCTTTTCCTCCCCATTAGAAACATCTAATGTGTCCGAAGAAAGCCTGCCTAAGAGGGCTGGCAGGGAAGAGGGTTTATACAGTACTGTTTGGCTGGCCCAGACTCTGAACTCAGGTTAAGCAAACCTTAACCTGCTCTTAACAGGGCAGCTGGGACACCATTTGCCATGAAATACCTAGATGTTCCAGGATACCATAAATGACTTTCCTCTCCTACTGCTGAGTTAGGGTAAGAACCTGAACTAAGAATCATAAATTGTAGGAAGTACCAATGGGGATGGAGCTTATATTTGTGATCCAAGGAAACTAAGGAAGGCATCAATACTGCTAAGTGATCTCCAGATGGGGATGTCTCAGCTCTATTAGGCTCAGTGCTCATTACTGAGAATGTACCTTCATGTCAATTCAAAAAAATATTTTTTTTCTAACTTTTTGCATACAAATGTTTTCGATGCTCTGTGAAGGTCTTTTGCAACATGCTTTAAATGTATTATTTGTGGTATAAAAATCTATAATTGTGTCATGTGGCTATCGTTGTCACACTGAGTTTATGAGGGGCCTCTGGGAAAAGGAACCAGTGATGTTAAAGGTGCCTGCTTTATATGCAGACATGTGCACTCTTCACCCAAGGAACTGATCCAGAGCAGGACACCCTCCTTTACAGGTTCTTCATGGCTCATTGTGTAGGATTTAGCTGTGAGCTAGTCAGCTCATGGCATGAGTGGGGATGGATGACAGCATCCAGTAGGATATAAGGCCTAGACAATACCTAGATGGGACTGACACAATGTGAAGAACAAACAAGACTGGGATGACCCCCTTACAACTCTCTCTCCCTCATTTTTTCCCCTGTCCCCTGCTTGCTTTCTTTGGTGTCAAGTCAATCAGCTTTCCTTGTAACTCTCACTGGAGACACTAACAACTACTCTACACAAAGCCTCCTCAGTGTCACAGGGGCAGGAAAAGTGGTCATATCATTAAATTGGACTGACTCCTTTACAGACAGAATCTAAATTCTCATAGGGACATTAAAGCAACAGTTTGTCCACTCATACCAAAGTAACAGTAATAAAAGAGAGAAAAAGCCAACTCTAACACCATTTCCTATATATTTTGAAGTGAAAAGTTTGGCTAGAAAAATGGAAAAAGGACCATTTTCTATGAAATATTCTATGGAAAAGTTGGTCTAATTTTGAAGTCTGCAACCCAGCCTTTATTCTTGGTATGTATCCAAATCACTATGATGGGCCCTTGGATCTCCAGAAACCCTGCTTGTGCATGGGCTAGCAATGGATCTGGGATAATAAGGACTGATAACCATCAAATTTTCTTTGACTGAATTCTGACCTGGAAGAAGGGTTGCTGGCTGAGATCTGCAGAAAAAGTCTCTTTCTCTTTCTGTCTCTCCTTTATCTCCTGGGAACTTTCTTACAATAGTAATTCAATTCTTCAAGTTTGTAAAACTTTTTAATCCTCAACTCATCTTTACCCTGCAGCCTATTTCTCAGACTCCTATTGATCAAACTACAAATGTTCTTACCCTTTCAAGAACCTTTCTAGATGGTGATTCGGAGGCCCTCAAGGGGTTTATACCTTGCATTCCTTCATCACGTCTCAACTGGCTTAATGTAATTCAGTGAAGTGGTACCAAGGTGCATGGAACCTTTGTAGACTTCCATCTTTATGCTAACAGAGCTCAGTGTGCACATTTGTGTAAGAGTAATGATTTTCACTGCAGCTTTAGATTCACAATGTATAATTCACTTGCTTAAATACAAGATTTAGTATCATTACATTCGTTTTTCCAATACAAGTGGCTCTCAGTTCATACATTATTACAGAACTTGCTTTGTCTTTTATCTGAAGCTCTATTTCTTAATACTAAACAAATCAATGTCCAGAAAGATTGGATGTCACAAAAGGGACCACAAAAAAGCAATTTCCAGCATTACTACTGAAGGTAATCTGCCATCATGGCTAACATGCTATTTCTGTGAAACACAGAACTGAAGGACAGCTGGATTGATTAAAAACAATTATTTTTGGTAATCTGGGATTTGAACTCAGGGCTTCATACATACTAGGCAGGTACTCTACCACTAAGCAACACTTCCAGCCCTTTTTTTGCTCTATTTATTTTGGAGGTAGGGTCTTGCTTTTTGCCTAGGCTGGCCTAGACCATGAGATCCTCCCAATCTCAGCCTCCTATATAGCTTGGGATGACAGGCATGTGCCACCATGCCTGGCTATTGGTTGAGATGGGGTCTCGTGAACTTTCAGTTTGGACTGGCCTCAAACCATAATCATCTTAATCTCAGCCTCTCAAGTAGCTAGGATTACAAGTGTGAGCCATGAGTATCTGGCTGGATCAAATTTTGGAGGAAGTTGCACAAAGTTCACCATTCAGATCTACATCAATGTTATGAAAAGAAAAGAAAAAAAAAATCAAGCCAGTTACAAACCATATATAATACTTAAAGGCTTTGATTTCAAGTCTTTTCCAGAGCTCCAAAAGAATCCAACCATACAATAATTTCCAATTCACTTTAATAATTATTAATGTATCATTAAACTGACCTAACTAGTTAAATGGAAGGAATAATAGCTACTCTTGGATATAAAATTGCCAATGAGAAAAACAGACTACTTTTTACAAAAGGTTTTAAGTTCTATTAAGGTGAACCAGTCATTTTTTGGTTATGAAATAAGTGTTCAAGCTTCAGTTCATATAGAAGTAAAGGGTTAAGATGCCTGGTGCTAAAAAAACCTCAAAATTGTGCTCTAAAAGTTTTATCTCTTACGCTAAAATATGCAATACTATTTATAGATAACAAAGCCCATTTCAGATGTCAATTTGGGGTGCAGGTTCTAGGTAGCAATCTGTGCAAGTTTAAACCAGTCAAAGACCAAGGAGGCCTCCTTCCAATTAGAGGTGTTTCAACAGCCACGGGCCTAGATAAAAGAGCGATGAAACAGATAAGCAATCTGCTTCAGTTAAATATTAGAGAGCAGCTGAGGCTTGCATTCCCCTAAAGGAAAAGATACATTAAGCCGAAGTTGTCCGCCCAGCATATTTGCCTTCCAGTGTTACTGCCTGTGTTTAAACTGGGAAGATGCAAAGCAAACTATACTGATCACTGTCAAGGTAGAAGAAGGTTCCTTAGCCATGTATTACCATTGGGATGAAAAACATAAAGTGTTCAGAAGGCTGCAGTCTAGGATTAGATCTGCTCAGTGGTGTGCTGTGAGAAGGAAATGCTACCCTAGAATTACCCTTTGTAGTAACTTGTTGAGAGAGTCTTGTATAATGGAGTTCATACCTATTCATTATTAATGCTGGAAAGTTTTGGCACACACTTCAGAGCCCATTTACGTGTTGATCTTCAGGGTTACTATGGTGAACATGAAGAAGTCAAGTCAAGTTCACCGAAAAGGAGAGTAGAACTGCCTGCTTTTTATTTGTATCCATGCAAACCCTCAAATGTTAAGACATCAACTAATCACACAATCTTCAAATTCATTTCCAAGTTGCATTGTTTGTCTTCTTAAAAAATAAACTTATGCTTTTTATACTTCGAACGTACTTAATAACCTGTCATAGTTATATATTAATAAGAATGAATTACTTCATTCAGAAATGCACTGCATTTTTGCCAAGTAATCATTACATCCAGGATGAACGAAGACT